ACTGCAAAGAATGGCGCAGACAATCCCCCAAACTGGTGGTTATTCTAATATTTAGATTCACCAATACAGCAACAAAACAGCTTCTACAATACCTTCCTGGTTACTCAGAAAAAACAAAACTCAGCTTCCTTAAAGCAACCCAGCCTTGAGCTCCCACCCAGACAGCCAAGTCAAATATGATGAGGATTACTGAAAATCTTGTTCATCATATAAAATGTTCTACCAATCCCAAAGGATCAGACACATTACCCACCTGGTTAATGAATATTTTAGATCTTACCCAAATACACCCTTACAGTCAATTCTTATTAACCAAACTAAAATGTATTAAAAAATAAAAAAGTATTGGTTAAAAGATCATTATACAGACAGATATGAATAAAGTTCTTAGGTCAGTTTCATAGTAGTGATGATGAGCTTCAGAGTTGCAGAGTCCTTTCAGAATTAGTCCATTAGGTTATAGTCCAATGTCCAATATCCAATATCCAATATCAGGGCGATCCAGAATGAAACTGGACTTGTGGCTCAAACTTCCCCTGATGAAGCGTAAGCAGATCTAAGGTAACAGGATCAGGGCCCAAGAGTTTCTTTTATAGATCACTGGCAGGCTCTGATAGCCTCTTGACAGCAGGCATTCCTTGGGTGAAGAATAGTGGCTTTGAAGTAGAATTACCTATTTCCTATGTATACACAGGTAACTAGTTGCATTCATTAGCATAAGAAGTTCATAGAGAGTTTACTACAATCTTCAAAGAGAAATATAAATAATGATACTATTACACCTAAGTTTCATCTACATGTTAATATTCCCTTTTGATCTCTGAATCAATAGATATAGACAGGAACCATCTGGTTACATTGTTAATTTCTAACAAACTATAGGTAAACACAGACCAATACAATCACTGCCTTATTCCAATTCTCTAACAATACAAGTTTACATTTCAAAGCTCTAGCCTATCTAACATGAAACTGCCCTAACTACCATTTCCTAACATGTCTCTAAAGATTGAATTTGGTCATTTAGCCTGCTAGTTGCTTAACCCTTTCTGGCTTAATGTCAGAGAGTGGCATATTTAGCTTTAATTTGAACAGATTCTCAAGCGACTTAAGCTAAACTGAAATAAGAGACTGTCCACAAAGTCATTTGCATCAATTGTAAAACTGGTTTAAATTAAACTGATTCAGCTCACTCATGTAGCCAATTTAAGTATATCAGTTCAAATTTCCTGTGATTCAGTAAATTGCCACTACAAGGTAAACTAAAATACATGAATCCCTTGAGTCTGTAGGCAGTGCATAGTGGGGAGGGCAAGACCGCTGCCCTCTAATTTAATTGTATTAGAGCAAGGTAAAAGAGGAGAGTGGGCAGAGAACGGATGTGTCCCAGGAGAGGTACAGCATGCAAATGAGATGCCTAGTTAACCTCTTTGGCCTTCTGAGCTGAGCAGCTGCGGGTAATAATTTATGAACACTGTATCTTGATTGGGTTATTGTATTGTGTACCATTTGCAGATACTGTGACGATTTATTACCAATATTGTAAGTATACATACTCCATGAGGAGGAGGTGAACCCTGATTTGCTCCTCTCCCCCAACACTTGAAGCACAATGCTGGAGCCATGGGTTGTGAGGTGCTGCCTAGACCTTCTTTTGGACTTGCTAAATAGGTTTCTTCAGGAACAGCTCAGCCTTGTGAAGGGAGAAGGGAGAGGAAGAGCAAAGCCCCAGAAGGGTTTGAAGACAGAGGCACTCTTTCAAGGAGGCCAGGAGAAGATGGAGGCAGAGAATGTTGGGGATAATCTGACTCCCAGACTGGCGGTTGGGACCCTGGGGTAAGATAGGCATAGCTAAGCCTTCAGGTCAGATGGATACACATATGGACTGTTTAGTGCTTTTAGAACTCCTTTTCTCTGATGCTATGCTGTGTTTCTACTGTTATGCTTAAACAATACTTTGTTTTAGAAAGGCTGTTGAAGGGTCACAGCTTCTGAACTGAAGAACTGCATGTAGCCAAGCCCTGTCAGACCTAATGATGTAGTGTACTGAAAACTGTTAAAATTACAAGCTATCACTTTAAGTGGCAACAGGTTTCCTGGTCTTGCTTGGGGGCTCTGTAGGGAAGTGATCTGGGTCCTTCAGTAGTCAGTCTGCAAAAGACGGAGTCTGGAGCAAGGGGGGTGGAGTTTGTGTTTGTTTGTTTGTTTGTTTTTCTCCCTCTCTCTCTCCCCTGCCCTTCCCTCCCCCCCGATCTTAAATATAGATGTGTTATGTTGCAATCTTAGAAAGAGTTCATGGGTGTGGGTAAATAATTTCTAAGGGTATGTCTACACTATGAAATTAGGTCGACTTTATAGAAGTCAGTTTTTTAGAAATCGTTTTTATATATTCGAGTGTGTGTGTCCCCACACAAAATGCTCTAAGTGCATTAAGTGCATTAACTAGGCGGAGTGCTTCCACAGTACCGAGGCTAGCGTTGACTTCCGGAGTGTTGCACTGTAGGCAGCTATCCCACAGTTCCCGCAGTCTCCTCTGCCCATTGGAATTCTGGGTTGAGATCCCAATGCCTGATGGGGCAAAAAACATTGTCGCGGGTGGTTCTGGGTACATGTCATCAGGCTCTCCCTCCCTCCCTCCTTCCCTCCGTGAAAGCAACGGCAGACAATCGTTTCGCGCCTTTTTTCCTGAGTTACCTGTGCAGACGCCATACCATGGCAAGCATGCAACCCGCTCAGCTCACTGTCACCATATGTCTCCTGGGTGCTGGCAGACGTGGTACTGCATTGCTACACTGCAGCAGCAACCCATTGCCTTTTGGCAGCAGACGGTGCAATAGGCCTGATAACCTTCGTCATCATGTCCTAAGTGCTCTTGGCCGCCTCAGTAAGGTAGGTCAGGAGCGCCTGGGCAGATATGGGCGCAAAAACTAAATTAGGAGTGACTCGACCAGGTCATTCTCTTTAGTCCTGCAGGCTGTCCTATTGTACCATCTTATGGTGAGCAGGCAGGAGACGAAGATGGCTAGCGGTCCTATTGCACCATCTTCTGCCGAGCAGCCAGGAGATGTGGATGGCTTGCAGTCCTACGGCGCCGTCTGCTGCCAGCCAAAGATGTAAAATATAGATGGAGTGAATCAAAACAAGAAATAGACCAGACTTGCTTTGTATTCATTTCCTCCTGCCCTCCCTCCCTCCCTCCGTGAAATCAACGGCCAACAATCGTTTTGGTGAGGTCTGTCAAGGGCACCTTGAAAATGTTTAATGGGGATTCAGTCCTGTTTGAAATACCAGAGGGAGGGATATCTTAGGGGGTTGAGCATTGGCCTGCTAAATCCAGGGTTTTGAGTTCAATCCTTGAGAGGGCCATTCTGTGTGACAGTTGTTTTTGTTTCTCCTTGATGTAAAGCCACCCCCTTTGTTGATTTTAATTCCCTGTAAGCCATGTTGTCAGTCGCCCCTCCCTCCGTCAGAGCAACAGCAGACAGCGTTCTGCGCCTTTTTTCTGTGCAGACACCATACCACAGCAAGCATGGAGCCCGCTCAGCTCACTTTGGCAATTAGGAGCACATTAAACACCACACGCATTATCCAGCAGTATATGCAGCACCAGAACCTGGCAAAGTGAAACCGGGCAAGTAGGCAACGTCAGCGCAGTGATGAGAGTGATTAAGACATGGACACAGACTTCTCTCAAAGCATGAGCCCTGGCAATGCAGGCATCATGGTGTTAATGGGGCAGGTTCATGCAGAGAAACGCCAATTCTGGGTCCGGGAAACAAGCACAGACTGGTGGGACCGCAAGGTGTTGCAGGTCTGGGACGATTCCCAGTGGCTGCGAAACTTTCGCATGCATAAGGGCACTTTCATGGAACTTTGTGACTTGCTTTCCCCTGCCCTGAAGCGCATGAATACCAAGATGAGAGCAGCCCTCACAGTTGAGAAGCAAGTAGCAATACCCCTGTGGAAGCTTGCAAAGCCAGACAGCTACCGGTCAGTCGGGAATCAATTTGGAGTGGACAAATCTACTGTAGGGGCTGCTGTGATGCAAGTAGCCAACGCAATCAAAGATCTGCTGATATCAAGGGTAGTGACCTAGGAAATGTGCAGGTCATAGTGGATGGCTTTGCTGCAATGGGATTCCCTAACTGTGGTGGGGCCATAGACGGAACCCATATCCCTATCTTGGCACCGGAGAACCAAGCAAGCGAGTACATAAACCGCAAGGGGTACTCTTCAATAGTGCTGCAAGCACTGGTGGATCACAAGGGACGTTTCACCAACATCAACGTGGGATGGCCGGGAAGGGTACATGACACTCACATTTTCAGGAACTCTGGTCTGTTTCAAAAGCTGCAGGAAGGGACTTTCTTCCCAGACCAGAAAATAACTGTTGGGGATATTGAAATGCCTATAGTTATCCTTGGGGACCCAGCCTACCCCTTAATGCCATGGCTCATGAAGCTGTACACAGGCAGCCTGGACAGGAGTCAGGAGCTGTTCAACTACAGGCTGAGCAAGTGCAGAATGGTGGTAGAATGTGCATTTGGACGTTTAAAGGCGCGCTGGCGCAGTTTACTGACTTGGTTAGACCTCAGCGAAACCAATATTCCCACTGTTATTACTGCTTGCTGTGTGCTCCACAATATCTGTGAGAATAAGGGGGAGACGTTTATGGTGGGGTGGGAGGCTGAGGCAAATCGCCTGGCCGCTGGTTATGTGAAGCCAGACACCAGGGCGGTTAGAAGAGCACAGGAGGGTGCAGTGCACATCAGAGAAGCTTTGACAACCAGTTTCATGACTGGCCAGGCTACACTGTGAAAGTTCTGTTTGTTTCTCCTTGATGAAACCCCCCGCCCCTTGGTTCACTCTACTTCCCTGTAAGCTAACCACCCTCCCTCCCTTCAATCACCGCTTGCAGAGGCAATAAAGTCATTGTTGCTTCACATTCATGCATTCTTTATTAAATCATCACACAAATAGGGAGATAACTGCCAAGGTAGCCCGTGAGGGGTGGTGGAGGAGAGAAGCAGTGGGAGGGGTGGTGGAGGAGGGAAGGACAAGGCCACACAGCACTTTAAAAGTTTAAAACTTTAAAACTTATTGAATGCCAGCCTTCTGTTGCTTGGGCAATTCTCTGGGGTGGAGTGGCTGGAGGGCCCTCATCCCCACCGTGTTCTTGGGCATCTGGGTGAGGAGGCTATGGAACTTGGGGAGGAGGGCGGTTGGTTACACAGGGGCTGTAGCGGCAGTCTGTGCTTCAGCTGCCTTTCCTGCAGCTCAGCCATATGCTGGAGCATATTAGTTTGATCCTCCAGCAGCCTCAGCATTGAATCCTGTCTCCTCTCATCATGCTGCCGCCACCTTTCAGCTTCAGTCCTCTCTTCAGCCCGCTACTTACTCTCCTCAGCCCGTCACCTCTCCTCCCAGTCATTTTGTGCTTTCCTGCATTCTAGCATTGTCTTCCTCCATGCATTCGTCTGTGCTCTGTCAGTGTGGGAGGACAGCATTAGCTCAGAGAACATTTCATCAAGAGTGTGTTTTTTTTGCCTTCTAATCTTCACTAGCCTCTGGGAAGGAGAAGATCCTGTGATCCTTAAAACACATGCAGCTGGTGGAGAAAATAAAGGGACAGTGGTATTTAAAAAGACACATTTTATAGAACAATGAGTACACTCTTTCACGGTAAACCTTGCTGTTAACATTACATACATAGCACATGTGCTTTTGTTCCAAGGTCGTATTTTGCCTCCCCCCACCATGTGGATATCCTTTCCTCCCTCCCCCCTCCCCGTGGCTAACAGCAGGGAACATTTCTGTTCAGCCACAGGCAAACAGCCCAGCAGGAACGGGCACCTCTGACTGTCCCCTTAAGAAAAGCACCCTATTTTAATCAGATGACCATGAATGATATCACTCTCCTGAGGATAACACAGAAAGATAAAGAACGGATGTTGTTTCTAATGCCAGCAAACATACACTGCAATGCTTTGTTCTACAATGATTCCTGAGTACGTGCTACTGGCCTGGAGTAGTAAAGTGTCCTACCATGGTGGACGGAGTAAGGCTGCCCTCCCCAGAAACCTTTTGCAAAGACTTTGGGAGTACATCCAGGAGAGCTGCAAATGCCAGGGCAAATTAATCATTAAACATGCTTGCTTTTAAACCATGTATACTATTTTAAAAGGTACACTCACCACAGGTCCCTTCTCCCCCTGGCGGGTCCAGGAGGAAGCCTTGGGTGGGTTCAGGGGGTACTGGCTCCAGGTCCAAGGTGAGAAACAGTTCCTAGCTGTCGGGAAAACCGGTTTCTTCGCTTTCTTGCTGTAAGTTATCTACAACTTAGAATCATAGAATCATAGAATATAAGGGTTGGAAGGGACCCCAGAAGGTCATCTAGTCCAACCCCCTGCTCGAAGCAGGACCAATTCCCAGTTAAATCATCCCAGCCAGGGCTTTGTCAAGCCTGACCTTAAAAACCTCTAAGGAAGGAGATTCTACCACCTCCCTAGGTAACGCATTCCAGTGTTTCACCACCCTCTTAGTGAAAAAGTTTTTCCTAATATCCAATCTAAACCTCCCCCACTGCAGCTTGAGACCATTACTCCTCGTTCTGTCATCTGATACCATTGAGAACAGTCTAGAGCCATCCTCTTTGGAACCCCCTTTCAGGTAGTTGAAAGCAGCTATCAAATCCCCCCTCATTCTTCTCTTCTGCAGGCTAAACAATCCCAGCTCCCTCAGCCTCTCCTCATAACTCATGTGTTCCAGACCCCTAATCATTTTTGTTGCCCTTCGCTGGACTCTCTCCAATTTATCCACATCCTTCTTGAAGTGTGGGGCCCAAAACTGGACACAGTACTCCAGATGAGGCCTCACTAATGTCGAATAGAGGGGAACGATCACGTCCCTCGATCTGCTCGCTATGCCCCTATTTATACATCCCAAAATGCCATTGGCCTTCTTGGCAACAAGGGCACACTGCTGACTCATATCCAGCTTCTCGTCCACTGTCACCCCTAGGTCCTTTTCCGCAGAACTGCTGCCTAGCCATTCGGTCCCTAGTCTGTAGCTGTGCATTGGGTTCTTCCGTCCTAAGTGCAGGACCCTGCACTTATCCTTATTGAACCTCATCAGATTTCTTTTGGCCCAATCCTCCAATTTGTCTAGGTCCTTCTGTATCCTATCCCTCCCCTCCAGCGTATCTACCACTCCTCCCAGTTTAGTATCATCCGCAAATTTGCTGAGAGTGCAATCCACACCATCCTCCAGATCATTTATGAAGATATTGAACAAAACCGGCCCCAGGACCGACCCTTGGGGCACTCCACTTGATACCGGCTGCCAACTAGACATGGAGCCATTGATCACTACCCGTTGAGCCCGACAATCTAGCCAGCTTTCTACCCACCTTGTAGTGCATTCATCCAGCCCATACTTCCTTAACTTGCTGACAAGAATACTGTGGGAGACCGTGTCAAAAGCTTTGCTAAAGTCAAGAAACAATACATCCACTGCTTTCCCTTCATCCACAGAACCAGTAATCTCATCATAAAAGGCGATTAGATTAGTCAGGCATGACCTTCCCTTGGTGAATCCATGCTGGCTGTTCCTGATCACTTTCCTCTCATGCAAGTGCTTCAGGATTGATTCTTTGAGGACCTGCTCCATGATTTTTCCAGGGACTGAAGTGAGGCTGACTGGCCTGTAGTTCCCAGGATCCTCCTTCTTCCCTTTTTTAAAGATTGGCACTACATTAGCCTTTTTCCAGTCATCCGGGACTTCCCCGGTTCGCCACGAGTTTTCAAAGATAATGGCCAATCGCTCTGCAATCACAGCCGCCAGTTCCTTCAGCACTCTCGGATGCAACTCATCCGGCCCCATGGACTTGTGCACGTCCAGCTTTTCTAAATAGTCCCTAACCACCTCTATCTCCACAGAGGGCTGTCCATCTCTTCCCCATTTTGTGATGCCCAGCACAGCAGTCTGGGAGCTGACCTTGTTAGTGAAAACAGAGGCAAAAAAAGCATTGAGTACATTAGCTTTTTCCACATCCTCTGTCACTAGTTTGCCTCCCTCATTCAGTAAGGGGCCCACACATTCCTTGGCTTTCTTCTTGTTGCCAACATACCTGAAGAAACCCTTCTTGTTACTCTTGACATCTCTGGCTAGCTGCAGCTCCAGGTGCGATTTGGCCCTCCTGATAACATTCCTACATGCCCGAGCAATATTTTTATACTCTTCCCTGGTCATATGTCCAACCTTCCACTTCTTGTAAGCTTCTTTTTTATGTTTAAGATCCGCTAAGATTTCACCATTAAGCCAAGCTGGTCGCCTGCCATATTTACTATTCTTTCGACTTCATCATCATCATCTTCCTCGTCCCCAAAACCTGCTTCCGTGTTGCCTCCATTTCCATTGGAGGAGTGAAACAACACGGCTGGGGTAGTGGTGGCTGAACCCCCTAAAATGGCATGCAGCTCATCATAGAAGCAGCATGTTTGGGGCTCTGACCAGGAGCGGCCATTTGCCTCTCTGGTTTTCTGGTAGGCTTGCCTCAGCTTCTTAAGTTTCACGTGGCACTGCTTCGGGTGCCTGTTATGGCCTCTGTCCTTCATGCCTGGGAGATTTTGACAAATGTTTTGGCATTTTAAAAACTGGAACGTATTTCTGATAGCATGGATTCCTCTCCCCATACAGTGATCAGATCCTGTACCACCCGTTTGGTCCATGCTGGAGCTCTTTTGCGATTCTGGGACTCCATCATGGTCACCTCTGCTGATGAGCTCTGCACTCACCTGCAGCTTGCCATGCTGGCTAAACAGGAAATTGAAATTCAAAAGTTCACGGGCCTTTTCCTGTCTACCTGGCCAGTGCATCTGAGTTGAGAATGCTGTCCAGAGTGATCACAATGGAGCACTCTGGGATAGCTCCCGGAGGCCAATACCATCTAACTGCATCCACAGTACCCCAAATTCGACCTAGCAAGGCCGATTTCAACGCTAATCCCCTTGTTGGGGGTGGAGTAAGGAAATCGATTTTAAGAGCCCTTTAAGTTGAAAAAAAGGGCTTTGTCGTGTGGATGGGTGTAGGGTTAAATTGATTTAACGCTGCTAAATTTGACCTCAACTCCTAGTGTAGACCAGGGCTAACTCTCTATATATGCCGTGAACCTAATGGCTGAGAAATCACAGTTGCTACACAAGGTACTGTAACCCTTGTCTAAAAGTGGGAGAATCCTGGGATTGTAACTTAGAGGGGTGACCGCTTAAAGCCTAAGACCTGAAGGAGGTCCACTCAGAAGAGGAGACAGAGGTACAGGCAGCCCTGAACTGTGACAGAATCAGTCGCAAATCTGGTTGAGTGCCTCCTCTCAGGGTCCCAGCTTCTGGATTCCCAGGTGTTTTAAGCTTGTAGAATCTATACAGTCCAGCCACTGTGAGTTGTAGCTCATGAAAGCTTATGCTCAAATAAATTTGTTAGTCTCTAAGGTGCCACAAGTACTCCTTTCCTTTTTGCGGATACAGACTAACACAGCTGCTACTCTGAAACCTGCCCCATCTTGGAGTCCCTAGGCATTTTCCCATGACACACCCACACTCTAGCACAAACCTCCCTCCCGCCCCGAGAGCTGGAACCCACAGTCCAATTTCTTATCCTTTCCTCAGACTGACCCGTAGCTTAAGCACACTCTCTCCCACATTTCTCCCACCAGGCATGAGCCTTCTGAGTTACATTTTAACTCTCTCAGGAGGCACTTGGTAAGTGTGGCATACAACACACAGAGAGACACTTTGCTCAGAAGACTAACACCATTACTCTCTTACTTAAGACATAAAGCACAAAAAGAATAGACCATTTAGAAAACAACAAACAGCCTAATGCAATGTAATGCAATGCCCCTCACTTGCTCCTTCACTTGCGGTTACATTTGTGTTCAGGGAGACAAGGTCCCCTACATGCAGCTCTTTTCAGCTTGAGCTGGTGAAAAATGACCAAAGAAAGGAGAGCAAATGGATCAGGTTCTGCCCTTTTAAAGCCATCCAGTCCCTCTTTCCAGTGACCTCCTGATCAGACTCCTTAGTTGACCAAAGAAAGACCCCCTATCATGTCTTAATTGATGTCTCAGCAAATCTCAGCAAGTTTGTGGATGACACTAAGCTGGGGTGAGAGGTAGATAAGCTGGAGAGTGGGGATAGGGTCCAGAGTGACCTAACACATTGGAGGATTGTGCCAAAAGAAATCTGATGAGGTTCAACAAGTCCAGAGTCCTGCATTTAGGACGGAAGAATCCCATGCACTGCTACAAGCTGGGGACTGACTGGCTAAGTGGCAGTTCTGCAGAAAAGGATCTGGGGATTACAGTGGATGAGAAGCTGTCTATGAGTCAACAGTGTGCCCTCGTTGCCAAGAAGGCTACCAGCATATTGGGCTGCATTAGTACGAGTATTGCCAGCAGACCGAGGGAAGTGATTATTCCCCTCGGTTCGGCACTGGTGAGGACACATCTGGAGTATTGTGTCCAGTTTTGGTCCCCCCACTACAGAAGGGATGTGGACAAATTGGAGAGAGTCTAGCAGAGGGCAACGAAAATGATTAGGGGGCTAGGGCACATGACGTATGAGGAGAGGCTGAGGGAACTGGGCTTGTTTAGTCTGCAGAAAAGAGTGAGGGGGGATTTGATAGCCTTCAACTACCTGAAGGGGGGTTCCAAAGAGGATGGTACTAGGCTGTTCTCAGTGGTGGCAGATGACAGACCAAGAAGCAATGGTCTCAAGTTGCTGTGGGGGAGGTCTAGGTTGGATATTAGGAAAAACTATTTCACTAAGAGGTGGGTGAAGCACTAGAATGGGTTACCTAGGGTGGTGGTGGAATCTCTATCCTTAGAGGTTTTTAAGGCCCAGCTTGACAAGGCCCTGGCTGGGACTGTTTAGTTGGGGATTGGTCCTGCTTTGAGCAGGGGATGGGACTAGACCTCCTGAGGTCTCTTCTACGATTCTATGACCAGTCAATCGCGATGGACGGGTTGGTGACCACTGTTCAAGAGATTACCAGTCTCTTCCATTTTTTTTTGTTTTGGAGCGGAGTGGAGGTTAAAAAACAAACCAACATAAATCTGTAAGGGGGAAGATGGGTACCCACAGAATTGCACCTGATTTGGCTAGCCCACAACAGAGAGAAGTAGTACTGGTGCACAGGCCTTTTAAAGGCCTAGTTTTGAGAAATTCTACCCCTCAACCTGGGGTTGCCAACCCAAAGAGTCTCTCTGGTCCCAAATAATACACAGACATTTAGGATCAGATCCTCAGCTGAGTTAGCACCCAAGCCAAGTTACACCAGC